AATTGTGTTAGTTTAATCCAACAAAGTAATTATTATAATTTAAGTAATTGTGTACCTCATTTCCAAATTGGCCAACTGCTGGTAATGCAGGGTCTAATTTAGAGTATACATTATGTACAGCACGTATAAGGTTACCATCATCTCCAACACCGGGTCTGTATTGGTATCGGGGATTCAAATAATATGTTGTTCAAAGAAACACATACTCTAATAAGAGAAATAATACTTATGCAACTAAAGAAATGAATTGCAAATTATGACATAATTTATACCTGCTGCATGCAAATCGTGGTATAATGTTTTATACCATCGGTCTTCAATTATTTTTATGACCCACCTTGCACCATGTTTTCTTTCCAATTCATCCTTCACTACACGCATCAACTCATATACTGCCCCCATAGTAGGATACACTTCTGTGTCAACGATCCGTAAAACTTTGTAAAGAGGTTCAAACACTTGACACACATGTTCTGTTTGAGTCCAAAAAGCATGATCAAGCACTATACTTTCCACCATACGACCTGTATTTGAGCGGCTGAAATTGTGGTTGGCCCAATCGTCACTAGTGAATAGTTGCTTCAACCCTGCTTTCTTCTTGAGTAGGCTGTTTAATGCAATATAGTTGGTGGCGAATCGAGTGGTAGCTGGACGAATAATTTCTCCTTTGCAAAATTCACGCATCTTTGCCAACAACCAACCGTGATTGTAAATATAATTTGTGTGATCGTTTCTAGCTCTTTTGACCACAGTAGCAACATTCTCTCTCTTCCCCATTGCCTCAAACATGAGATCAATACAATGTGCTGCACATGATGTCCAAAACACATTATGATGCTTCATTAACTTTTTTCCAGCTTTGACAAATGCAGAACCGTTGTTGGTCACGACTTGGACAACATTATGCTCTCTCACCTCCATGATTACATCCCTCAATAATTTGTAAATATACTTGTAATTCTTTATATGGTCTGAAGCATCAACAGACTTCAAAAAAATTGTCTTTCCCTTGGAGTATACCATGAAGTTGATGATAGATAATCTGGTCGGGCCGGTCCATCCGTCACACATGATTGTGCAACCATTAGTTTCCCACTTTGACCTCAACTTGTTAACATACTCGCCAATGTCTTTATACTCCATATCCAAATATTTGTTTCTTATCTCATAGGGAGTGGGAGGTTGTACTCCAACACCGGCCTGTTGACATCCCACTACCATATTTTTGAAATGATGTGATGATGCCTTCGCAGCAGGGACATTTTCATAGATAAAGAACTTGCTAATTAGACGCCCCATTCCCTCCTTCACATTACCTCCCTTGAAATAACTCCAAACACTCTTTTGACGTGCGTTGGATGACTTATATAAACTTGGGGCTATTGGTGGTGTTGGTTGTGATTCTCTAAGACTGCCTCCCCGTCTCATTTGTGCACCACCACTTGTCCCGGAACCTTGTCCCCTATTAGGAATTTTATGAAGGTGTTCTCTTTCCCATGCTGACTGTTTGGAGGCACGTAATGCTTGTTTCAAACTGCGTCGTTCTTCAGGTCCCATGTCATCATCACATTCGTCCTCATCGTCATCATCATCATTGTCAACCGCTTGGCCATAGACTTCTCCCCGTAGCCCAGCTCGAATATTTTCCATTCCCTGTGTTATCTTTTCCTTCAGCTGTTTTTTATTTTTTAATAATGTGCTGATGAATGCCTTCACTTCTGGGGGGACATTATCGCATCGTTGGACATTTTTTGATGGATCTAATCCACTAAGATGATACTTCAGTCGTGTCACTCCGCCACTCTTCATTACCCGACCACAATATTTGCAAATTGTGCCATGTTTGTTTCCGTCTATTGGGTCTCCATGTTCCCAAGCTGGATCACGTTTACTGGACACATCTTAAACGTACCTATATTTATTTTTCATGAAAATTAGACAATTATTTTTTGATAAAATAAGAGAACCTAAATAATAAAGTTATTCTACAGAAGAATTAAATACAAAAGTAAAGAAAATGATTGTAAAAAATTTAAGTAATTATACAAATAATATGGAATAATAAAACCTAATATTAATGAATAATAATCCAATTTGATAATAATTCAATTTAATGAATAATAATCCAATTTGATAAAAAAAAAATCCTAATATAAAACATGGTGATGAATAATAATCCAATTTGATAATAATCCAATTTAATGAATAATAATCCAATTTGATAATAATCCAATTTAATGAATAATAATCCAATTTGATAATAATCCAATTTAATGAATAATCCACCAATTTGATAATAATCCAATTTAATGAATAATCCACCAATTTGATAAAAAAATAATCCTAATATAAAACATGGTGATGAAAAATAATCCAATTTGATAATAATCCAATATAATGAATAATAATCCAATTTGATAATAATCCAATTTAATGAATAATCCACCAATTTGATAATAATCCAATTTAATGAATAATCCACCAATTTGATAAAAAAATAATCCTAATATAAAACATGGTGATGAATAATAATCCAATATAATGAATAATAATCCAATTTGATAATAATCCAATTTAATGAATAATCCACCAATTTGATAAAAAAATAATCCTAATATAAAACATGGTGATGAATAATAATCCAATTTGATAATAATCCAATTTAATGAATAATCCACCAATTTGATAATAATCCAATTTAATGAATAATAATCCAATTTGATAAAAAAAAAAATCCTAATATAAAACATAGTGATGAATAATAATCCAATTTGATAATAATCCAATTTAATGAATAATAATCCAATTTGATAATAATCCAATTTAATGAATAATCCACCAATTTGATAAAAAAATAATCCTAATATAAAAGAATAATAATCCAATTTGATAATAAAAAAACCTAATATTAATGAATAATAATCCAATTTGATAATGAAAATGGTAAGGGAAATAAAATAATAAATAATATTAAACATATTAAAATGATCCTAGGGAATAATTATACAACATTACTTAATTACTTAAAAAAATTAACATGTAATGGTTAACATTACTTAATTACTTACAAAAATTAACATGCAAGTATTAATTACTTAAAAAGATTAACATACGAGTCCACACAAATTTATTTGTTGTTGTATAAATTACAATAATATAAATTTAAGTTTGTAAACTTACCTTAAAATATGGAACCCTTTGTGTTCAAGCTTTGGAATGGATCTGGAATGACTTTGAAAATGGTAAGGGAAATAAAATAATAAATAACATTAAACATATTAAAATTATCCTAGGGAATAATTATACAATATTACTTAATTACTTAAAAAAATTAACATGTAATTGTTAACATTACTTAATTACTTACAAAAATTAACATGCAAGTATTAATTACTTAAAAAAATTAACATACGAGTTCACACAAATTTATTTGTTGTTGTATAAATTACAATAATATAAATTTAAGTTTGTAAACTTACCTTAAATATGGAACCCTTTGTGTTCAAGCTTTGGAATGGATCTGGAATGGTTTTGAAAATGGTATGGGAAGAAGAAGAAACGAAAATTCTGTGAATGCCTCTGATACTCCACCTCTGATAAGGTGAAAGAATGTAAGTATATAACAGACATTGACACACTGACACTGTTTTGCATGTGAAAGAATCTTACTGACTGTCACACGATTTCATTATGAAAGCAGTATTATTTGTTGTCCATGCTCTGAAATTGCAAAAAGTTATTTGGATCATTGTATCAGAGAGCTAGAGATAGGTTTTGAATTATTTGGTTTTGAATTATTTGGATCATTGGATCCTTTTTTTTTCTTACACGCCACCACACAGACAGTAAAAAACAGTGAAGAACTCACACTCCACCACACACACACTTCGAGACCCCCCACACCACACCACACACGCACACCACACACGGAGCTCAGAGAGTCTCGATCATTCCTTCCTTTCTCGAATCGTCTCAATCTCTCTCTTCTCTCTCTTCTCTCTCTGAGTCTTCGTTCTCAGTCTTCTCCCTCCCTTCCCCCTTCTCCAGTTCTTCCACACACACACACAGACTCATCTTTCGAATCTCGATCCATCTCTCGATCCTCCTCGTCCGTGTCTCCCTCTGCTCCTCCCATCTCACCCGTCCTAAACCCAGCCGTCGACACCACTCGATAACCGCCTTCTAAACCACCTTGTTCCATGGAGATGGACCGGAATTCATCGTAGTCCCAGCCGTCGACACCACTGAGGAGCACGACGTTGTCCCAGCCGTCTTGGATTCGTGAGGAAGACGACGTTCCCAGGCTCCTACTTCTCTTCTTCTCGGCTTTTAATTTTAATTTTTGTACAGATTTCAATTTTTCTGCATGTTGCTTGATTTTTGTACTGAAATCGATTTTAGGGATTTAGGAATTAGGGATTCAGTTCATTTGCTTTGATTTCGAATTTGGGGATTTAGGGATTCGGTTAATTTGCTCCGGCGTTCTTCTCGGCTTGTAAATTACAATTTTTGTACAGATTGCGATTTTTCTGCATGTTGCTTGATTTTTGTATTGAAATCGATTTTAGGGATTTAGGAATTAGGGATTCAGTTCATTTGCTTTGAAATCGAATTTGGGGATTTAGGGATTCGGTTAATTTGCTCCGGCGTTCTTCTCGGCTTGTAAATTACAATTTTGTACAGATTGCAATTTTTCTGCATGTTGATTTTTGTACTGAAATCGATTTTAGGGATTTAGGAATTAGGGATTCAGTTCATTTGCTTTGAATTAGAATTTGGGGATTTAGGGATTCGGCTTTGTACTGAAACCCTATTTGCTCCGACTTTGTTCTCCGATTTAGCCGATACAAAATATCGCGATAGTTTCGAAAATATCACGATATTATCGATAATATCACGATATTTTTCCGAAAACAAGTTGGATAGTTAATAAAATATCGGGGTCCCAAAAAAACGATAATATCGGCTATATATTATCGATATTTTCTTCACTGGTCAGAACCCATCAAAAACATTTTCCTTCACGCAGGGAGAGCGAAACAGTGTTTCTGGTGTTTCTTCAATTGTTTTATCGCAGGGTTTGACGGCAAACCGGTAAATCCTTGTGGTATTTGGTAAGATAGAAATAGGATGAAGTTTGACCGGGAGGCAAATTTGAAGTGTTTGATTGGGCAATTCCAACTAGGGTTTAAGACTATTTCTGGTGCAAGCTTGATTTCATCTGTGGCTGCTCTTCTGGGTATTGCTGGTGGCTTTGTTCTTGCTCTCAAAGGCTCGAAATTCGGCATCCTAAACACCTTACACTTAGAGTGGCTGCCAAACACTCAGGCTTCTTCTCGCAAGCAGCTGCCTTTGGTACCCGGCCTCCAAAATCTTGGAAATAATTGTTTCCTAAATGTTATTTTACAGGTATTCCCAATGGTTGAGCATTCCTTGGTTTCATTTACATATATTGATTAGAATTGGATAGTTTTGATAGAATCAAGCTTTCGATTGATCCGGGTACTTGGGATCATCATCTACATCCAGCAAGCCGTATGCTTTGGAAGAAGTTTGTACAGTTTGGGAAGGGGTTCAATTCTCAGGCCCCGCTGTTATCCGCTACATTCCAATGGGTTTGAGGTTGAATCATATCATTTTTTTTTTCGGGAAATGGTTCAGTTCCAGAGCTAAAGACCGTAGTTCTCGAACGAGGACGCACCTTCACTCACACTATCAGGCTAATTCATGTCTTGAAAAGAAAAGACAACATTATATGTGTTGTTGTTCATGTGTATATGTGCGTGTTCGTGTTTGTTCACCTATAAGTGTTTGAAGATGGAAGTTGATTACATATGTGTGTATTCCATTTAGAATTCGATTATGCTTAAATGTTTTATAGATTAGAATGGTTTGTGTGACTTACTGTTGGATTTTGTAATCTTCAGGCTCTGGCTAGCTGTTCATACTTTCAACCCTTTCTCCAGAATGTCTTAGAGGAATATGAGTTCTCAGCAGTTCAGGATCGAGTTGATGCCTTTCCTCTTACGATAGCATTGGCAGCTTTGTTAGAAGGTTAGGATCAAAATCAAACCTATTGAAATCACTTGCAGTGTGTTTAAGTTAACATGTATACTGGAATGCTCTTTAGGTATAGTGTTGGTTCAGTAAGACATCAAATGACATCATATAATCACGTCTTAAGAATATATAACTTTCTGGCTTTTCTATAATTCTATTAGGTGTTCCAAACTAATTTATAATATTTCTGTAGATCTAAGTGTAGTTGGTGGAGGAAGAGTTGTATTAAGTCCGCGAAAATTGATGCTTGCGATGGAAGCTTACATTCAGAATTTCGATCTTACAAGCCAGCAGGTGCTATTCTGTCTTCTAAATGCCATAACAACTTGAGCATTTAAAATTGAATATCTAATACGTAATATTTTGTACACGTAGGATGCAGCAGAAGCATTTCTTCATCTTCTGTCCTCTTTAAGAGAAGAATTTTCAGATTGTTATCTTCCAAATCAATGTTCTTTAGCAGAACTCTTTGCCTCTAATTGTAGGATTATTACTCCAAAGAGAATGGAGAACCAGAGTGAGCAGGCAAGATGGCAGCAACAGTACCTTGGGCCATTTGATGGAATTCTCAGTAGCATCCTCACGTGTCGAAGTTGCTCAACACAGGTTCACATGAATTTCTGAAGGAACACTATGCACTTATTTGAGTTATACTTGATCTCATGTATGCTTATCTGCACCTTTTTGTTTTGTAACTCTTGCGATTAGTAGGTGTGCTACCGTTTCTGTTTCCAAAATCAATTTCTTTGAACTTTTGTCAATTTCACATGCCTATGTTCCTTAAATTCTTTCGAGTTTTACATCCTTCAGTCTTAGTCATCCTAGTAGGATGCAATTTTGTGTTTTAGATGTAGAATCTTATAAATAAAGTTACTTGTTGACAATATCCTACCTTCACTTGCCACTGTTCTAGTCTTCAGTCATGGTTTTCTCTTTTTATTTTAACGGTATCATTCAATTGTGGATAGTTCAGAGTTTGCCTCTTTATTTTGCAGATATCATTGAACTTTGAATCTTTTCACAGCTTGCCTCTTTCACCAGTCCTTAATGGTGGTGCCACAATTGTATGTGTACTGAAGTATTCACTCTTTGATATTATGTATGTTTGAGACTTTCACTTGAATTCTGCTCATATGATTGCTTCCTTCTAAACTAAAACATCTCCTCTTTTACCTTTCCTTTTTGTTCTTAATCAATTTCGTTTTTGTACATTGTTAGATGGTTGGATGCACCTTAGAGGATTGCCTGGAGCAGTTCACTGCTGCTGAACAAGTTGAGAATTATCACTGTAACTATTGTTGGCACATTGCGGCAGTCAAGTATTTATTTTCTATGGGAGTAAATGAGGTAAATCCTATATTCGCATTATAAATATATGCAACTTGATAGCCTTATTTTCTACATGATGAATGCAGCAGAATTAGGGTTTCTGTTACTCCATCTTCCTGTTCCTTTCTTTCTCCTTCTATTTTCTTGTTTGATGCGAATAGGAAAAGAAAGACAGTCCTCTTTCACATTAAGTGAAGAAATGATGATACTCCAACACCCGTCAGAGCCTAGGTTCCTAAAAGAAAATCAAAGGGAAACTGATAGGATACTTTAGAAACTGACATCACCTCAATTATATTGAACCAGGTTTGCTGATGCAGACAAAGGTTCTGTCCCATTTATAGAATACATGATCAATAATTCATACTCCTTAAATAAACTTAAGAATTTTGCCTTATACATTAATAATCTTTTATAGTGCAAAAACTTACATATTGATATATGGAAACTAAAAACACTCCTTGACTATTTATTATATTCCATAAATTCTTTGCATCACCAGGAAACTAAAATTAAATCACTTGTGCTTGGATTTGTCGCCAGACTGGACACATCGGATATAACAAGGAAGCTCGAATGTTATTCCTTGGCTAGAAAAAAAAAAACTACTACCAAACCCGAGAATTCTCTAAGAAGAAAGAGAGAATAAACTCCAATTTGATTGATAATACGAATAAGGTTCCAAACCTAAGGCCAAGATGACCCATTTGTAATGTTATTAACCTAGAAACCATAGGAAACCAAATAAGAAAGGAATTAAACAAATTACAAAATATTAACAAGATCCTAAAATAATAAGATCCCATTTTTGGAAATTAAATGCTGGGATCCGGCCAAATTCTGACTGGGCTTCTTGTGAAACAACAAGTCTTGTAGATCTCGTTGTTCTCATCGAATCCAGATTGCAAGCTCAAAACAGGCATGCCAAATCAAAGTTGTGTCATTCCGAACAGCCTAAAAAGTCCAAAACATCCACTTTCGGGATATGGCAGCAGCAAATAATCTTTTAACATGTGAATTACAAATTCTCCAATCACTTTTCTTGATTGCTTGCCACTTCATTTAGTTTCATTGCATGTGAAATAACCTAATTTCTGTCTTACATGCTCTTTTAGGGGGCGTTTGTTTGCCCTCACTAAGTGGGACTGGACTGGACTAGCTGTTAGTCCAATAAGGTGTTTGTTCCATGCTGGGACTAACATTAATGAGACTAAAGGGGACTAGCATGGACAAAACTTTTCACTAAGAGGTCTTAGCGAGACCCCCCAATAACCATGGGACTAGCTAAGACTATCTCCTCTCGTCCTCGTCATGCTCAACAACCACTCCTGATAGACTCCTCGTCATCTCCGGTCACCTAGATCATAATAAAATATTAATAATTTATATATTAAATAATATAATATTAGAATTTGTTATTATCCAGCTTCTTAGTCCAACACTGCACCAAACGCTTCACTAAGTTAGTCCAACTTAGTCTAGTCTAAGCTAGTCCAGCTTAGTCCTTAAAGCTAGTCCAGTCCGAGATAGTCCTCTTAGGGGGCGTTTGTTGCGCTGGACTATCTCGGACTGGACTAGCTTCAAGGACTAAGCTGGACTGGCTTAGACTAGACTAAGCTGGACTAACTTAGTGAAGCGTTTGGTGCAGTGTTGGACTAAGTGTTGGACTAAGAAGCTGGAATAATAACAAATTCTAATATTATATATATTAATATATAAATTATTAATATTTATTATTATTATGAATCCGGTAAGATGACGAGGAGTCTATCGAGAGTGGTTGTTGAGCATGACGAGGACGAGAGAGGATAGTCTTAGCTAGTCCCATGGTTATTGGGGGGTCTCGCTAAGACCACTTAGTGAAGGGTTTTGTCCATGCTAGTCCCCTTTAGTCTCATTAATGTTAGTCCCAGCATGGAACAAACACAGTATTTGGACTAACAACTAGTCCAGTCTAGTCCCACTTAATAAGGGCAAACAAACGACTTTGATAGTCATTTTCAAACAAATAAAAACTGTCACATTTCTCCTTCTGTGGCCCTCTGTAAACATTATGCTTTTTGGCTCCACTCATATGATTGTTTTTCAGGAAGAGATTGAAAAGATTAAGAGATGCCCTGAGCAAGATTCCTGTGACTGTCGAAGACATTTTCATCTACATAAGCTACCTTGGTCAAATAAATTTTCATATACTCTAAAGCAAATAAGTATTGCTCGTTGCCCAAAGGTTTGTTCTCTTATTCTTCTATTATTTTCATAAAACCTGGGGTAATTCCAGGTGTCAACTAGACCAACGGGAAGAAAGATAAATGGGATTTTGGAACTATTTGGCATGACACGATATCTTGAACACTGGGGTTCATTTGTTCTATCATGTGGAAGCCATGTACCTCAGCTGCTTTGACATCATCTAAGAATGAATAAGGGAAAATGGCATGCAATAGGCAAGCATCTCAAAAGCTCTTGGATCCCGCTTATTATGGTTATAAGAAAACAAAGGAAAAGATGTAGGTATTGCCATAATATGAAAGAAATCCCATTGTAACTAACAAATTACGGTCAAGACAATTTTCATATTGTATTTGGTTTTTTCTAACCTAACCAAGAAACGTTAGTTTTGGGGAAGCTTCTGCAAAATTAATTGTCAAATTTGCATAAATCCAAAGTGGATTAACTGGTTTTTTGGTTCTTGAGTTTTGGTAATAGGATCCATCATTCTGTTATATATTTTGTCATCATATTCACTTGGAAAAAAAATAAAAAGTAGAAAAATAAGGAAAGCGCAGTTTTATGGTTGACCCAACAAAAGAAAAAAACTGGAATATTGATTTATAGTCATTGTTATTTGATATCATCTGCCATCATATTTAATTATCTGCTGAAAATAGTGATACAAAAAATGGAATTTCCTCATCTGGACATTGAGCCAACAAAGCTAAAAATTGTTCAACAAGACAAATTAGCTTATTTGCTATGGTTCTCTTCTTACCTTTATACGACTAACATCGTTAAATCTGGTTGCAAAGGATCTACAGGTTTCTTGTAAATTTTGTTCATATTTTGCATACTGTACCCTTGTTGTTTCTCACGTGTATTTTATTGGCGCATCTTGACATCTTCATTTTCCTGAGAAGTCTTTAGGTATATAATTCAATCTCTAAGAATTGCTATTGGTCTGATTTGTCCTTGCAGATTCTATGCATTCATCTAAAGCGTGTTTCAATCAATATATTTGGAGAACTAGTAAAACTTCAGGTGTTTGAAATTTCATGCTTTACTTTACTCAATCCATGAGAATGTATTTCCTGGGTAAAATGGTTTAAAATATTTGGTGCAATTCTGTATTGATGATTGTAGGGCCATATTTCTTTTCCATTGGTTTTGGACCTTTTGAGATTCACGACAAGTGATGTGGGAATAAAGAGTTTGGAAGAAAACATGAAAAAAGGGGAAGTTCAGCAACAAAATAAAAACTCAAGAACTTTTCCCAATCAGTTCAATATGCAGTATGATCAGATAAAGCTGAATCATATCTATGGATTAACGAGAGGAAGTATCTACCCAGAAGAATCAGCTTCAGATGTATCTCAATTCACTGCAAATGCAAAAGATATGCCAGCAAAATCCAGATTTTCCGAAGCAGCAGGGTTTTTGAAAACCATGCATGCAGACATGAACATGCACTCAGAAGATCAGGCACTTAAACTTTGCTGCTTTTGCATATAGATTGATTTGAAAATAATTTGTGTTTGCTTTTCCTTATAAAAAGAACATTTTTTGCATCTAAAACTTGTATTTGTTTTTCATTTTTTAGATCTTTTTTGTGGCGTTTGATGAATAAAAGCTTTTAGGTTGATTATTAATGTGCGCATACCTATTGCAGTTGACTGAGAGTTGCAAAGTGGTTCCTTCAAATACTTGCCTCTACCGTCTTGTTGCCGTTGTGGAGCACTTTGGAAGAGCTGGAAGTGGGCACTACACCGTTTACAGAAGCGTGAGAGCTGATTTATGTGAAGAACCTTGTGAGGAGTCTGAGGTTGACGCTGCTGCTTGGTGCTGGTATTCTATTTCGGATTCAGAAGTGTGTAGGGTTTCAGAGGAAGATGTTCTTGCTGCAGAAGCAAGCTTTCTTTTCTTCGAAAAATACGAAGGCTGACGAATGAAGGTTAGTTTTGAAATTGTCACGAAAGGAATTGTTGAAAATGTACAATACCTGTGAGATTAAGAATAGAAAACGAAAACTCAATAATGGTAACGATAAAAAGCATATTGACATTCTCTGCCGTCCTATGTTTTAGTGAAGGATCATAGCTCTGGCGGGTATTTTGGACATTTGATTGAGCTCCGGCTTGCTGTTTTTTCTGCGGCTGCGTTTTCTTATTCACGCAGCGCCTTGTTTAGGCCTAAATTTATCAATTTAGCTTTATTGAGCTTGAACAAAAGCTTTGGCCCAAACCGATGAATTGATACTCTCTCTCACGTCGCTCACTATTGTTTAGGGTTTTGATTTCGATTTTAATCTAATTTCTGAGAGCATCTTCAATGCTAAGATGCAAATTTGAGATGTCAAAAATCCTAAATTACTAAATCCTAGTAGATTATCTGTCGGATTTTACAATGTCTTTTAAATAGCTCCTGTATGTAATTGTATTCTTTAGGGAGTAAGTTCCTATCTCTCTTGTCAAGATAAATAAAGATACAAGGCATGAGGAATAAGACAAAATTCCTCAAGCCATTTGTTATCTATCTCTCTTTTTCGTAAAATTGGTCACAACACGTTGTCAGTATGCTTCTATTGTTGCGCCAAGCAATTTAAATTTTTTTTCTACTACAAAGCTTGTTTACAAGATTCATTATCCTAATCTAGGTTATTTTAAAACACGATCTAACTTGATATATTTCAAGTTGATTGCATGAAACATTCACCGTTAAGCATAAATCCTAATTTTCGACTATCGAATTATATGTTCTACTCAAATTATTGTTTTGCAATTATATTAAATTATTGCTGTTATAATTGTGATGAATTGAATATGTGTGACTAAGCAAAGAAAAATGAAAAATAGAAAAGAAAAAAAAGCCCTAATTTTTTTTCCAAGCCGGGCTGTGCTATGCGCTAAGCCACGCTCTAGCAGCTCAAGCCGAGCCGATCTTTACCTAAAATCTAGAAACGACGTCGTTTTTTGTCGTCTCTGTCACCCGGCCTAGGGATTGCCTGAAGTCGAACCCCCACCGATATTTCGACGTTTCCTGGTGACTACCACTCACGACGACTGGAAGTGGTCCCCCAGTCACAATTTTAGTTTGTTGACGTCTTTCAAGACGTTGCCGGCCTTCGACGCCTGCAGCCGCCATCCCATCAACACCGAGACCTGACGTTGAGGATTCCATCTCCTCTGTCGCGTTCTTCGAGGTTCACGTTCGAACCTCTACTCCACATGACCCTCGCCGTTGTATTTTTTGGGCGAAACTCGAGCCCACTGGTATTGGGCGCGTCCTCGGCTTGAACCCCATTCTATTGGGCCTTCCCTGCGCTCGGCCCGAATCCAGCCAAGGCCAGCTTTGGGCTTGGACTCGGTTTTTTTAATTTTTTTGGCCCCTGTTTAGGCCATTTTTTGAAGTGGTTCTTTTTTCCTCTTCAACCTAGTTTGGGCTCCTAATTGTTTTTTGGGCTGTTAACTCAATCAATCAATTTTTCTTTTGGGCGCTATTTACTGTAGCACATATGAAACTCTATACCTATTTATCAAGATTTGGTTTTCACCTTTTCTTTTTGAGGTTAATATTTGGGCTTGACTTCTGTCAACCCACCTATTTATTTTTGGACCTGAAGCTCTACATTTTTGGGCCGTTTCTTATACTTTCACACAAAATGGTCCGAAACTTTCCACCTTCATTACAATTGTTTTTAAGGAAAATTAATAAAAATGACTTGAAAACTTTGAGTTTTAACGATAAGGAAAAAATAAAGGGTAAACTGAATAGTACCAAGATTGACTTTTTAATGTAAAAATATGGTTTTTCGTTAAAGTGAACAGTACCGGAATTTTTTCTTTAAAGTTCCCTTGTTTTTAATGCTATATATATTATCTTGTATAAATTGTCTTTATTTGCAACTATTATGAACCTGAAGTTCATACTTTTACACCCGAGCCTGAAGTTTTGAAAAAAGTGCCATATAAACCTGAAGTTTCCTAAAACTCACCACTCATGTAGAGACCTGAAGTTCTCCATGATTAATCCGTTTAATCAAAACCATGTCTTAGAACCCAAATGTTCTAACTCTAATGCTTATGGAGGTTTTATTTCTCTTACCACCAACCACAATCTTGTTTCCCCAATTCAGGGAAGTGTCAAACTGTTACAAGTTCGATTTCACTAATTTGGAAATTTATGACATAAACTACTTCATGTGGATACAATCATACAAGACATTAAACTCCGCTTGACTACAAAAAGCTGCAAAATCATTGAAGCCAAAAATGGCGTGAAAGAGCTAAATAAGCCTCCACCATGATTTTCATTCGAAAATTTATGCCTGACGCACTACAAATGGAAATACCTCATTGAAGAGAATTCCACAGCTCTTTTACTTGCCTTTACGGACCATTTCAATTATGAGGGATGATCTCTTGCCTGAAGCAAGACATGATTGAAACGTTTACGTCTGTGAATAGGTATCATTCTAAAGTTTATAGAATTCGATTAAATTTCGACTGGAGATGATTTTGCTCATCCATCTATGCCTCTAACATGCCCTTGAAGTAGCAATGTAGAGAGCGATACTTGGATTTGATTCCTACCATGTTGCCCACTAAACAATACAACATTTTCCCTAACGATATCTCATCACGCTCTACTAACTTGAAAACACTCAGTTTGGCCGAAGCAAATGCTATGTACTTCACGAAGCCCAAATCTCTAAGATTGGTATAGGGGGTGGCAACATGGGTACCAAACCTAAGGTCATGAATAGTGGTAGAATCAAGGTCTACCAAAGGGTGACATCACGGCCAGAAGCGTGATCATTGGCACAGAAGATCAAACTTCAAGAATAAGAGACAATATTCCCAAATCTCAACCTTGCATTATCTATTTCCATTGTGATGGAATAAATCATTTGTTATGTACTTGTTTGTGCCCTTACCAATGTTGTTGGTGAGTACCATTCCCGTATTCAATATGTGAGATTAATTTTGCTCCACCTAAAACATTTAGAAAAGCAAAATTTTACATGGAAGGGTAATGTTGATTGCATCCCCTTAGTAGACATTGGTTTAATTTGTGAACAATTTCCTATGTTCCCGGATTGAAGTTTAGTGATTATTTTAGTTCTGGATAACCTTATGGATATTGTCCTTGAGTATGAGTCAATTGATTCATGTTTCTTATACATGTGATTGAAATCAATTAACAAGTGATTAAGTATAAATGTAGGAAATGTTAGTTGTCTAGATGAATGTGCTACTACGCACACTAACTTCATACCTAAATCACCTTTTTAATAACGAATACAGGTCAATCCAACCAGATTAAGGGCCTTGATGTCGCTCCTTATTGTATGAATGATAGTGAATTACTATTATAAAGGCTTTATATTCTCCCTGTTCTAGAAGAACGTTTTTGAGTCTTAAGGATAATTGAGAGAACAATGATCATGATTGAAACCACTGAAGAAAATATAGTGTAATATATTTTCACCACCTCCAAAATATGAAGCCTGAAGTTATGTTTTAGGGCCAATAGGTTGCCACCCAACTGGGATGCGTCACATGTGATTACCCTGGAGCCAAGTGATATGAGCATTTTACTTTCCTTAGCACAACTGTTTAGGACACTTAGGTCAAACAATGATGCCACGTATTATATGACACATCTCATTAACTAGAGTAAGGGTCTTGCCCCTACAAGCACACTTTGCCAAGCCTGCTCTTGGGGAAATTGGGTTTCTATATCATCCCTCTTAAAGATACTAAATTACCCTATTTTAACAGTGGATTTTAGGGAATAGTTGTGAACTAATCCAACCAAAATGTAGACCATGTAAATACTTGGTTTTGGTTGATGTATCATCATAATGGTCACAAGTTTGTCCATGCACATTGTTGCTAACCTTCTGGCCGATTTTACTTTAAAGGTTCACTGCCATAATTATCCCATAAAGTCTAGAAGACTGGACAATGCAGAGAGTTTATATTGAAGATTTTTCGATAAGTATTGCATGACTTTTGGGTATTGAAATTGAACTTTTGTGAACGCACCAAGCTTTTGGTTTCTTCCTAGGGCAATGCACTTTCGTATGCAGCTATGTTAGTCCATTTGAGACCCACCACCCAACATATTTTACGTTACAGTTGGTTACTGGGTACGACCTAAATTTTTTACGCATTTGGGTGTGAATTTTATGTGCCAACTTGTGCTGCCACAATGTGCCAATATGGTCTTCAAAGAAGGATCTCAATCTTTGTCAATTATGATTCTCCTTTGCACTATCTCTTTAAAGCCCTTGCAAATGATCTCTTCACTGCTCACTTAAATGACACAGTCTTCTAGCTGTTAAGGGAATATAATGATGTCAACGTTCATGTAGAACAACGCAAATTCGCATGACGTTGCCCACTATGTCTTATCTTGATCCCCAAACTACACAAGTATGATAAGCATGTGCGATGTATTTTAGCTATCAAAATGTTGCCCACTATATTTGATCTAGTTAAAGTGACGCAATCATATCCCAGCTACAAACATGTTTACAAGGATAAACATACCTAACGGACATCAAGTTAACATCCCCGAAGGATGTGCCTCCCTTGAAAGACGGTTTGGCGTCTTTGTTTGATGGTTTGGTATATCGGCGGATAGCCAATTAATCTGTTCTTGGCCTGAAGCACAACGAATCACTCAGTTCATAGGATCCACTTCCCTAGAAGAGGAAGGACAACCTAAAACAAATCCACACTCGATTGTTGTCTCAATCATTTCCATCTCATGAGATTTATCCAGATTACTATTGGGCTTGAAGTTCTTGGTCTAGTATGCTAGTTTGGGTGAGATATGGAATTGGATAAGTTTATCATCGATGATGTTTCAATTATATGGTAGCTACCGACACAAAAGAAAAGTGATAATATTGAATCGTGTTCCATTTTTCAGTTATAATATATAACTGATTGGTGAAATTACAACTCATGTTGAATTAGATTCCTTATCAAAGTGTGGGTTTGTCGTTCCTACATTGCCCCACCTTGATATGTTAAAAGTGGGAAAGGAAGCGTAATGAGATGAATGAAATAGTGTGATGTAATGCATACCTTATGGGAAAGGTTTCTCTCAAATGACCTGTGATTGATATGGAGATTTACATATAAGTTCTCGAAGAACTACATGGATATGTTCATATAGTTGTAGACCACAAAACACCCTCTTAATTCAAATAAGGCGTTCACTTTACAGATCGAAGCAATCTGGACATATGTGGTATCCCCATCTAAGTCAATATTTGATTAGTCAGGAATATGCATAAACTATGCCCTTGTGTGTTAAATTAAGAAGTCATATTCCAAATTGCTAGAGTTGCGGTTTATGTTCATGACATGAATCTCACTAAAACTTTGGAATAGCTTAAGATAACTGCCTCGTACCTGAAGATGGAATTTAAGATGAAGGGTATTAGGAAAATTCGTTTATGTCTTGACCATAAGTTTGAGCTCGAGCTAACCCCTGAAGGTGTTACCTTTTAAGTAT